GTCAGCAGTTATTGGTGGCGAGGCCTAAAAATGGAACCCCTGTGTACAGAGGCAGTCTATCTCTGAATGCCAGAGGGACCAAATGGAAGGCGAAGGCTGCTGCCTTCTTGCTCTGGTTGCCAGTTTCCCAGGACGCACGTGGCCGCTTTGGAAACAGAATGTTGGGCTCGATCAGATTCCGTACGGAAACATGTTATTCTTGTTTCCATAATTTATGTAATTTTTCATAATAGCGTTTGGCAAGCTTTTTAGAATGTGGCTTTTGTGGTTGCGGAACGCTCGGCTCAACTTGCAACACATGTATTTTCAAAAATATATGTATTTAACTCAGAGTCTTGTAGCCCCTTAGACTATTGTCTGAGGACAGCGACTGCTAAGAGAAAGTGAAGGGTGCAAATAAATGTTCAGCCCGTGGGGCTGAACTGGTAGCACGCTGCATATGGGGAAAGAACAATCCATACAGAACAACTTAGAGCAGCCAAAATATCTCTGCTAAAGGAACAGGATTGTGTTGCATGCCAAAACTGGCTGTCTTCATTGCATCAAAAACAAGGGGTGGGAGATGTAGCTCAGAGCACCTGCTGTGAACATAAGAACATAAGAGATGCCAGTGTTGGATCAGGCCAAAGGCCCATCCAGTCCAACACTGTGTGATACAGTGGCCAGAAATACCAGTGCCATCAGGAGGTCCACCAGTGGGGCCAGGACATTAGAAGCCCTCCCACTGTTGACCCCCTCCCCCCAAGCACCAAGATGACAGAGCATCTACGGGGAAGACAAAGAGCCTAGGACCTTCGCTTTCTGGCTCTTCTTGGGCTTCTCACAGAGCCCCTAGTCCAAGATTTCCTAGGCTAAGAGCCACAGGCAAAGAGCCTTTAGCTCGCCCTTCGGCTCGTGCCAGAGGCTGTGCCTGTGGCAAGGTGCTTTCCTAAATACTGAATTACAGTCAATCACAGTCAAACAATGCCCCTTCCTCTCCCTCTCTCAAGTAGCCAGGACTCTGCAACAACTCTAAGCGCTTCCACTCACTCCCAGACCAGTCCTCCCACACAGTATCCTCAGCTGAACCCCTTCAGCTGAAAGCAAGTAAAAAAAAAACCACTCACCCCTCTGTCTCCTGCTCAGAGCTCAGCTGGGTCTCCTGCAGAAGGTCACAGAATCATAGAGTTGGGACCTCCAGGGTCATCTATCCAGCCCCCTGCACACCTCCAGGGTCATCTAGTCCAGCTTCAAAAGGGAATTAGATAAGCATATGGAGCAGAGGTCCATCAGTGGCTATTAGCCACAAGGTATAGATAGGGGCTCTGGGGCAAGTGATGCTCTGTCTTCTTGGTGCTTGGGGGGGGGGTCAACAGTGGGAGGGCTTCTAATGTCCTGGCCCCACTGGTGGACCTCCTGATGGCACTGGTATTTCTGGCCACTGTGTGACACAGAGTGTTGGACTGGATGGGCCTTTGGCCTGATCCAACATTGGCATCTCTTATGTTCTTATGTTAATCCCTGCACAATACCAGACATTCACAAATACTTCCCCCACACACATACACCCCAGGGACCCCTGCTCCTGCCTGGAAGATGGCAAAAAACCCTCCGGGATCCCCAGCCAAACTGGCCTGGAGAAAAATTGCTTCCTGACCCCAGAGTGGTGATTCGCGTTTCCCTGGGCATGCAAGAAAGGGCCATGAAAACTAAGCACCGAGGCGACCCTTCCTGCTCTCCCTCTCTATGGTCTCGGGTTCACACATTATTGAATCAGACCCTTGGTCCATCAGGGTTGGTATTGTCTACTCAGACTGGCAGCAGCTCTCCAGGGTCTCAGGCTGAGGTCTTTTATGTCACCTTCTTCCTGGTCCCTTTAAACTGGAGATTGAACCTGGGACCTTCTGCATGCAGAGCAGGCTCTTCCACTGAACCCCAGTCCCTTTCCCACATCTCTCCATCTAAAGGCTCCTGGGCAGCAGAGGTTGGGAATGAGGCCCCGGAGAGTCACTGCCGTGTAGATGACGCTGATCTGGGTGGACCAGTGCCCTAACTCGGTGTAAGGTTGCTTCATGTGTTCATGAGTAAATACATGAGTAACTGTAAATCACTCAGAGCCAGCAGCTCTGCAAGGATTGAGCGATTAATAAATCAAAAGTTGTTTATTATTATTATTGTTGTTGTTATTAAAGCAATAATGCTCTTCCCCCTGCTCCAAACAGTGGATGCTTCTTGGGAAAGAGAATTGCATATTTAACACTGCAGAAGAAGGTATTTGAAGAAGTGTGCGTGCAGACCGAAGCTTATATCTTGAGTAAAACTTTGTTGGCCTGAAAGGTGCCACTGGACTCAAGACTTTGTTCTGCAGAAGATTGGTTTGAGTTGATGATACTGTGGAAGGAAATGCTTCCCACTTTGCTGCCACCACCACCACTACTACTACTACTACTACTACTACTACTACTACTACTACTACTTCTTCTTCTTCTCCTTCCTTCTTCTTCTTCCTTCTTCCTTCTTCTTTCTTCTTTCTTCCTTCTTCTTTCTTTTTTCTTCTTCTTGCATTGTTTCTAATTTTTGTAACCCTGGTCTTAGCACTTTGCTTATTAAGAACATCAGAAGAGCCCTGCTTTATCAGACCAGTGGTCCATCGAGTCCAGCATCCTGTCTCACATAGCGGCCAGCCAGTTCCTCTCGAGGGCCATAAACAGGGCAGAGAGGCCGAGGCCTTCCCCTCATAAGAACACAAGAACAGCCCTGCTGGGTCAGACCAGTGAGGGTCCGTCTAGTCCAGCATCCCGTCTCACACAGTGGCCTCAACCAGTTCCTCTGGAGGGCCAACAACAGGGCACAGGTTGACTCCTGGCACTGGGATTCAGAGGTTGACTGCCTCTGAACATGGAGGTTCCCCTCGGTCACCGTGGCTAGTAGCCACTGACAGACCTCTCCTCCATGAATCTATCTGTTCCCCTTTTAAAGTTGTCTATTCTTGTGGCCATCACTGCATCCTCCGGCAGCGAATCCCACATTTTAATCACTCTGTGTAAAGAAGTATTTCTTCTTACTAGGCGTCTCATGCAATTTAACTGCTTTGTTTGAGATCGTGTAATCCGCCTGGTGTCTCAGTGAAAGAGGCTGGCTATACATAAATTTTTGTCAGTCTTTGTTGTTTAAATACAGGGGTCATTTTGTAGAAAAAGAGGTGCAGGAGCTCATTAGCATAACCTATTTGCATATGCCACACCCTCTGACATCACCGGAAGTGTGTAGGAAGGCTCCACTGGACGGTTTTGGATTGCTAGCTATTGGTTGGGGGGGGAGAACGTGCAGATCTGGTCCTCAGAGAGGAGGGAGAGCTTGTACCTGAATAAAACTTGGTCTTAGGTGCCACTGGACTGTTTTGGACCGGGGCGGGGCCCTCTGCAGCTTACCTGGCTGCTTCTTGCTCTGACTGAAGGTTGCTGGGAGCAGGGGGTGGGGCTTGTTGCGTGTGCCCGCCCCCTGGGCTCTTTACTGCCGGAGCTCCGCTCCTCTGCGCTCCTGCAGGAAATGGCCCCTGAAATAGAATATTTAAAAAGATGTAAGCATAAAATGCTCACCTGCAAAGCGTAGATTATTTTGTAACCGCCCACACTTGGAGTGCCCCGTCTGGGCCAATCTCACAAGATCTCGGAAGCTAAGCAGGGTCGGCTCTGGTTAGCCCTTGGATGGGAGCCCACCAGGGAGAACTGGCATTGCTACACAGAGGCAAGCCATGACAAACGACTTCTGTTCATCTCTTTCCTGGAAAAGCAATGGCAGGTGTCCCCAGCATTGCGCCCGTGGGTGCCGTTTTGCCTGCCGACACCTTTCCGGGTGCCCACCAAGTGTTTTTAGAAATTGGGGGGGCAGGGGGCGCTCCCGATCGGCCATTGGAGATCTGATTGGCTGTGCAAATTAAAGTAACGTCGCTTTGGTGGCAGTTGCCTCTACGGCACTGTTCCCTCTAAGCTGAGTTAGTGTGAGCTAGCTCACAGTTTTTTAGCCTCCAGCTCACACATTTTTTGTCTCCGCTCAGGAAGGGATGGCTCCAGAGCAAACTAATTTATGCAGTAGCCAAATCGCTCGCTCACAACTTTCATGCCAGTAGCTCACAAAATAGAATTTTTGCTCACAGTACTCCACAGCTTAGAGGGAGCATTGCTCTACAGTGCTGGTTTTTCTCTCTTTCCCAGTGTTTTTTTTTTTTAATTGCTCCTCTCGTCCGTTGCGCTCGGCTTCCCTTTGTGTGTGGCCCCGCCTCTCACGGCAGCCATAATGTGATCGGCTCCGCCTCCCACACCGATCATTTTGCTGTCGTGCCCACCGCCGTGTGTCCCGATTCCAAACCTGCTGGGAGGGTCGAAAAGATTGGGGACCAATGCTCCCTCTGAGATCTGGAGTCTTGTGAGCGAAAATTCTACTTTGTGAGCTATTGGCGTTAAAGTTGTGAGCGAGCGATTTGGCTCCTGCAAAGATTAGTTTGCTCTGGAGCGATCCTTCCTGAGCTGAGACAAAAATGTGTGAGCCGGAGGCTAAAAAACTGTGAGCCAGCTCACACTGACTCAGCTTAGAGGGAACACTGTTGGGGACTGCTGCCCTACAAGGTCAACATGACGGGACTGTCTACCACCACCAGGGCTGCTGGGGGAACGCCTCTGGGGTGAATTTAGTGTGCATGTGAAAAAAGGATCAGCGCCTGTTTCCTGCACTTCCTTTGTCATTCCCTCCTGAACCTGGGGACCCTGGCCACACCTGTGCCTTATTCCTATGCGTCGGCCTCCCCTGCCCACTTTGCTAAAGTCTTAGATTTATATTTCCAGATTACTGTCTCAGTTTGGAACACTGAAGGCTGCAAGCTTTTCTCCAGGGGTGGTGGTGGTGCTGAGGTGCTCAGGAAGCCTGAGATCTCTCCAGCGTGTGTCTGAATTCCGGGGGTCACCGTCTCTGAATGGAGACGGAGTCGTTTCTTACGCATCCCCGTCTTGTGTTTTGTCTTCCAGGGCAAGAGCAGAGGGGAGCCCTCGTGCGGTCAGCCACCTCTGTGAGGTGTGAGCCCTGGGCTGGCAGGGGCAAGAGGCTCTCTGCTAGTGAGAGGTAGGTGCCGATCTGGGGTAGCACTACTGGTGTCGATTGGGTTGCCAGCTTTGGGTTGGGAGATTCCTGGAGATTATGGGGGGGTGGAATCTGGGGAGGGCGGGGTTTGGGGAGGGGCGGGCCCTCAGCAGGGTCTAATGCCATAGAGCCCACCCCCCCAAAGCAGCCATTTTCTTCAGGGGAACCCATCTTGGTCATCTGGAAATCCTTTGTAAGAGCGGGACATCTCCAGGGGTCACCTGGATGTTGGCAACCCTAGGTATTGTCATGTTCCCTCCCACCCACCCACCCCTCAGACCAAGACCCCCATTCTGAGTTGGAAAATAAGGCATCCACTGTAAGGGGCTAAGCAAGGTTTATTATTGTTATTATTAGAGCCAGTTTGATGTAGTGGTTGGGAGCGTGGACTCTGATTTGGGAGAACCGGGTTTGATTCCCCACTCCTCCACTTGCAGCTGCTGGTGTGACCTTGGGTCAGTCACAAGTTCTCTCAGAACTGTTCTCTCAAGAGCAGCAGTTACTGTCAGAGCTCTCTCAGCCCCACCTACCTCACAGGGTGTCTTTTGTGGGGAGGGGAAGGGAAGGAGATTGTAAGCTGCTCTGACACTCCTTCGGGTAGTGAAGGGTGGGGTATAAATCCAACCTCCTCCTCCTCCTCTTGTCCTCCTCCTCCTTCAACTCTGTTGGGGCTTTTTGTACAGAGGCAGGTCCAGCAAGCACACCTCTCACTCCCAAGCGAGCCTTCGTAAGGTTCCAGTTCTCTCCCGTGACTGCCCCCGTCTCCGCCTCTCTTTCCCCAGGGCTTTCCTCTCCCTTCTCTCCACGATGCCCCAAGCCTCCGAGCACCGCATGAGCCGGGCCAGAGAGCAGGCGGTCATCACCTCTCAGCCGAAGGCGACCGGCAGGCTCCCGAACGGACACCGGACCCTGAGCCAAGAGCACCGCGGCCCCGCAGCCATCTCCAACGGACTCTCCGTGACGCCCAAGCTCCGGCCCCTGCCACCCAGGCCGACCCCGCTGGACGACCGGGGCAAGAAGGCCGAGCTGGACCGCGGCCGGGCCTCCAAGCGGGCGGACGCCTTGCGCAGCTCCGCCTCCCGGCGCGGGCCAGTGAAGGCAGACCACGCCCTCAAAGTGCCCGGCTGCCCGCAAGGCGGCTCCATCCCCGGCAGCGCCTCCTTCACCTTGCCGCCGGGAGTCCTCCTCGGCGGGCCGGACTCCGAGCGCCGGAGGAGCAGCCTGATCCGCTCCAAGTCCATCAGCATCGGCGACCTGAGCCAAGCGGGCGCCCGCGGGGAGGAGCAGCTGAGCGCCGTCCTGAACCGGCTGGCCCTCCGGGACCGGGACCGCAGCCCCTCGTGCAGCCACAAACTCGGCCTGGGCTCCCTGGCCCTGAAGAGGAGCTGCTCGCTCCGCAGAGTCAACGTGTCCGGCGGGCTGGACGGGAGGCCGACCGCCACGCTGCTCTCCGTCCGCACGGAAGGCTGCCCCAGGCTCCGCGCTTCGGACCCCCAGGCCGTGGAATACGCGCACCCCCAAGACATCCTGGTGTCGACGAGCCCGCCCCAGATCAAGACCCCCATTCCCAGCAGGCTGGAAGAGAAGGCGTCCACTGTAAGGGTTGTTGTTGTTATCATCGTACGGCAGTGTGTGTTGTATAGTCAGGAGAGCTGAAGGTTGCCCGGCAGCCAGAAGTTCTAGCTGTATTTAGTATTATGCACCACTAGGTGGCAAGCTAGACTTGTTTTCAAGGCAAGAGGCGTTTCAGAGGTGGTTTGCCATTGCCTGCCTCTGCTTCAGTTTGGTGTAGTGGTTAAAATGCGCGGACTCTAATCTGGGAGAACTGGGTTTGATTCCCCACTCCTTCACTTGCAGCTGCTGGATGACCTTGGGCAAGCCCTAGTTCTCTCACAGCTGTTCTTGAAAAGAGCAATTCTTGAAAGAGCTCTCTCAGCCCCACCTACCTCACAAGGTGTCTATTGTGGGAGGGGAAGGAAAAGGAGTTTGTAAGCCGCTCTGAGACTCTGAGTGAAGGGCAGTGTCTAAATCCAATCTCCTCCTCCTTTTTCTTCTTTATGACCCTGGTATTCCTTGGAGGTCGCCCTTCCAAATACTAGCCAAGGCTGACCCTGCTTAGTTTCCAAGATATGACAGGATCGGGCTATCCTGGGCTGCGGCTGAGTGGAGCACCGGGCTCCTGTGACCGGGGTGGGGGGTGGCTTCTTGGCTAAGGTTGATACTGCAGGCTGAGGCCACCTGAGCTAACCAACTTGTTTGGGTCACCCTAGGGTCTTAGTGCCCGGACCTGCATGGCCCAGGCTCGCCTGATCTTGTCAGATCTCAGAAGCTAAACAAGGGTCGTCCCTCAGTGCTTGGGTGGAAGACCTCCAAGGAAGTCCAAGGTTGCCGTGTGGAGGTGGCCAGCGGCCAACCGCCTCTGAACATCTGTCGCCCTGAAAACCCCACGGGGGTCGTCATAAATCAGCTGTCACTCGATAGCACTTTACACAGACAGGACCTTAGGAATACTAGTACCGGGGGAAGGTTAAGGGTATCATACCTTTGCCCGCGCTACACAAGAGCCAGATCCAAGTCCGGCAGCACCTTATCGACCAGGAAGATTTCCAGGGTATCAGCTTTCAAGAGTCCAAACATGCAGTTTAGTGTAGTGGTTAGGAGCACAGACTCTAATCTGGGAGGACTGGGTTCGATTCCCCACTCCTCCACATGCGGCCGCTGGTGTGACCTTGGGCCAGTTGCAAGTTCTGTCCGAGCTGTTCTCTCACGAGCAGTCCTCCAGAGAGCTCTCTCAGCCCCACCGACCTCACAGGGTGTCTGTTGTGGGGAGGGGAAGGGAGAGGAGATTGTAAGCCTCTTTGAGACTCCCAAGTGAAAGGCAGCCCCTCCTCGATTATGTGGAAGGCGATGTAAAAGAGCCCTTTCCCCAAGGCCCCGGAGAACCGCTGCCAGTCAGAGAAGGCGAGGATGACCTTGCTGGACCCAGTGGCCTGTCGATGAGCTGAAATGTGACCGCCGCCCGAGAATGTGGTGGCGGGCCATTGGCTTTGTAAGGGGTCTAGATGCATGAGGTCAAAATGGAGCCTCCAAGTGCAGAGACATTATACCTCTGGATACCAACTGGTAGGGGCAGGACAGGGCTGTTACCCTCATTGGCCTGGTCCCAATTTGAGGCAGGGCACTCAAGTGACCTTTCGTCAGCTGTGGCCGCATTTCGTACCCACATTTTGAGTCAGTTGGGTGTAGTGGTTAAGAGTGGCGGACTCTAATCAGGGAGAACCAGGTTTGATTCCCCCACTCCTCCACATACAGCTGCTGATATGACCTTGGGTCAGTCATAAGTTCTCTCAGAGCTGTTCTCTCAAGGGTGGTTCTCGAAAGAGCTCTCTCAGCCCCACCTACCTCACAGGGTGTCTGTTGTGGGGAGGGGAAGGGAAAGGAGATTGAAAGCCGCTCTGAGACTTCTTCAGGTAGTGATGGGTGGGGTATAAACCCAATCTCCTCCTCCTGATTTGCGAGCATAGCAAATAAGAGAAGCTATACTCTCAAATGTGCTACTCTTTTTTCCCTCTTAGTTGACCCGCTTGACCAGCCAGTCCCTGTTGCCGCATCCCCAGGCTCCCCTTATTTTGGGAGGACGCGCAGCTTCGGTCGGCTCCCCTCCCCCAGTGTCCCGCCTGGTTCCCTGATCGCACCCAGTTTCCCCAGCAACACCGTCAACTCACATGCAGGTCCATCTGGCGCCTGGTGAAGGTGTAACCGTTAATTAATTCCCCCAGGGGAAGCCTTTTATGCATTCTCAACAGGGCCGGGGAGGCCCAGGGGAACGGCCAGCTGAGCTGGGCGGGACGAATGCTCCTATTGGCTCCCTAGAAAGTCGCACACAGGCCTCCGGCAGGTGGCAGCTGGGACTCTTTGGCCAACTCTGGGCCTTCCCTCGTGTCAAAGACCTCCGTGGTTCTCCTAAGGGGCCCGCTAGGGTACCCTACGCATTGCGTTTTGTTATGGTCGTATATAATGTGTGTGGGGTATTTTTTTTTTTTAAGTCTTTGTTGGGCCTCCAAACACCCCACCGTTCCCCCGAGTGTCTCTCCCAGCTAATTAATCCCACAGTGCTGAGCCCTCCAGAAGAGCCAGGAATAGCCCAGGGAAAGAGAGGATTGGGGGGGTGGGGTGGAGGGGGGGGGGGGGGGGGGGAGGAGGGCCCCGCAGTCCTTTTGCGTTCGGCGCCACGCAGGGCGCGCGCGACCTCTCCTCCTCGCCCTCCGCTCGGACCGAGGGGAGTCATGCCGGGCCTCCCGGGGGCCACTCTGGTGGAGCTGCCCCGCAAACTGCACCGCACGCTGGCCACCAAGCGGGAGCTCCACGGCCGAGGGGCCGACATCTCCGAGTCGGTGGTGCACACGGCCGTGATGGGGCTCCTCCTGATGACCAGCGAGGTAATGCCACGGACACCCCCCCCCCTTTCGGCCACCACCACACCGTGAAAGCCAGTGTCGCCAAGTTCCGGGGCGGGGAAGGTTGACGGCGGCTTGGGGCAAGGCTGGTTTGGGGGGTGGCCTCGACCTGAGTGTCTGGATGGTGCCTTTCGTGGTAGATGGAGAACAGAGGCCCGTCCACCTTTTCAGACCCAGGAGCAGTGTTCCCTCTAAGCTGAGTTAGTGTGAGCTAGCTCACAGTTTTTTAGCCTCCAGCTCACCCGTTTTTGTCTTAGGAAGGATGGCTCCCAGGAGGCATCTTTTGTTTCAGTGGGGGGGGGTGTTCTGGTTTTCTGTTCTCTTCCCTCCAGCTTGAAAGGGGGACAGCAGGGCCTCTGGGATGTTTATAGCTGTGTGGAAAGCGGAGGAATTCTCACACACAGCGAGAAAAGCCCCGGTACTTCTTCGAAGCTATCGGAAGTCAAGAAGTTGCTTCTCTTCCTCTGCACTTTGGTCACCTGCTTTCTGCTTCTAACATATGATGGCGGCCCCCCTAGAGGGGCTGGTCTTAAGTTGCAGCCAGTGCGGGGGGGGGGGCTCCCCACTGGTTGAAAACTAGCTCACTGGTTGGAAAAAAACCCACTGGGGGGGAATCGGTCTGGGGTACGCAGCCCCTGTTTGAGAACGCTAGTCGTCAAACGAAACAGACCCCAAACAGCCCCCCACCCGTGTCCCTTTCTTGATTCTGTTCATATTTAATTCCTGCCGGCATAACAATACCATTAATGATGTCTTTGAGCTGCTATTATGTGTTGTATTTAAATGTCACAAGCCCGCCCTCCGCGATGAACTGCGGTTTGCCGGCAGCCCTCTGTGCATGGTGGTTTGGAAGGGAGCCGAAATTTGCCGCTGTGCCATTTTTTAAATTGGCGTGGCCAGTGTTCCCTCTAAGCTGAGTTAGTGTGAGCTAGCTCACAGGTTTTTAGCCTCCGGCTCACAAATTTTTGCCTTGGCTCAGGAAGAATGGCTACAGAGCAAACTAATTTTATGCAGTAGCCAAACTGCTCACTCACAACTTTAATGCCAGTAGCTTACAAAGTAGAATTTTTGCTCACAAGACTCCACAGCTTAGAGGGAACATTGGTGGCCGTGTATGTATTTAAAGGTGTAAGCAGCAGTTGTGTAAGCAGCAGTTCTGTCCAATCAGCATCTGGAAACATTGGTGTAGAAAAAGACACCAGCAGGGTGGCAGAGGGGTGTGCCCCAGCATTTTCTTTGTGTGGGGTTGTTTCTCTTCCCCACAAGGTTTAACTGTCCAGAGACAACGAGTTCAAGAGCTGGCATGGGGTGGTGGTCGGACTAGGATCGGGGAGCTCCACTCTGCTTGCTGCTCCGATCTCACCTTTTCAGCCTGACCTACCTTATAAGGCTGTTGTGAGGACAAGACAAGAATGACGTAGACTGCTTTGTGTTGGGGAGAAAAGTGAGGTATAAATGGAGTGAATAAATAAAATAAGCTGTCTTAACCAAAGGGACATGGCGATCAGTGGGGAAAGTCATCTTTCTGTTCTGTTTGTCTGTGTTGTTGTTGTTTTTTTTTAGACCCATCACACTCTCCTGCTGGGATCCGGGCACGTCGGTCTCCGCAATCTTGGCAACACGGTAAGAGGAGGGCTCTCTCGCTCTCTCTGCCCTTGGCAGTTAGAAACCCGCTTCCCCACAAGGGCCCTCGCGTTGCAAAGCGTTTCTTGAAAGCAAGAAGTAAAACGTGCAATCTTTGTTTCTCGAGACGGTGTCTTAAAATAGCCGGCACTGGAAAGTCAAACAAGTAGCAGATTGCTGCCTTTGTCGCTAAGTGTCGGCCTTATGGAATCGGAGCAACGCAGTAGGCGAGCCGATGTCTCTTAGTGGTGTATGCGAACAAGCAGCACGGCTCCGAACACTTGTGTGCACGGGGGGGGGGGGGGGGGGGGGAGGTAGGCAGAGCCGCGAGCACAGTTGCACTGTGCCAAGGACAGAAAGTGGGAGAGAGAGAGAGGTGGTTGCTCCATGGCAGGAGACGTGCTCTGCGTGCGGGAGGTCCCAGGTTCAATTCCTGGCATCTCCAGCTACAAGGGCGCTGGGGGAACACATGCTTGGTAACCGAAAAGGTACCACGGCAGCTGGGAGAGCAGCAGAGGCAGGTCACCGCAACAGCACAAGAGATGAAAAGGAGGATGCGTTGTATGTGGGAAAGGGCACATGAGACGCTGCCATGTATGTGGGAAAGGGCATGTGAAATACTGCCATGTATGTAGGAAAGGGCACGTTAGATGCTTCTGTGTATGTGGGAAAGGGCACGTGAGATGCTGCCTTGTGTGGGGTCAGACTGATGTCCCGTACAACCTGGGACCGTCTGCTCTGCTTGGCAGCATTCTCCAAGGCTAAAGGGAGGGCTCTTTCTCAGATCCACATGCCTGTTCCGTGTTGCCTGGGACAGTTCCTGAACTGTCAGGCACGAAGAGCACGTGCGCTCCGCAGAGTGACAATCCCTGATTAAAGTGTGGGATTCACTGGCAGAGGATGTAGCGAAGGCCAAGGGTCAGACAGCTTTAAAAGAGGATTAGACAGATTCATAGAGGAAAGGTGTATGAGCAGCTACTAGTCATGGTTGACTAAAGTGAACCTTTGAATACCCATGCCAGGAGGCAACACCAGGGGAAGGCCTCGGCCTCTCTGCCCTGTTGTTGGCCCTCCAGAGGAACTGGTTGGGGCCACTGTGTGAGACAGGATGCTGGACTAGAGGGACCCTCACTGGTCTGATCCAGCAGGACTCTTCTTAGGTTCTTATGAGAAGAAGGCCTCGGCCTCTCTGCCCTGTTGTTGGCCCTCCAGAGGAACTGGTTGGCCGCTGTGTGAGACAGGATGCTGGGTTAGATGGACCCTCTCTGGTCTGATCCAGCAGGACTCTTCTTAGGTTCTTATGAGGGGAAGGCCTTGGCCTCTATGCCCTGTTGTTGGCCGTCCAGAGGGACTGATTGAGGCCACTCTGTGAGGCAGGATGCTGGACTAAGATGGACCCTCACTTTTTTATATAAATTTATTTTCATTTTTCATTTCACAAAGATATGTACATATATCCATTTAATACTTATACATTACTTATTGTAAAATGTCCCTCTCTCGGTTATCATCCATTATCTATTTCTAGAAAATTTTCAAATCTACTGTATCTTCTTCAGTTTCAGCCATTTGTAAATTACTTCCCATCTGTCCCAAAAAAGTTCCTCTGGTTTCTTCTGTAGTGTCATGCTCAGTTTATCCATTTCAGCTATTTCCAGAATCTTCTGTATAAGTTCTCTTATTGATGGTATAGCTTTTGACTTCCAACGCTTTGCTATCAGAATTCTTGCTGCTGTTAATAAGTATATTATTATATGTTGGTGGTTCTTTATTGTATCCAGAATCATGTTCAATAAATACGTTTCTGGTGTTAAAGGCATATTAATTTTGAGTATATCTGAGAAGTTTTTAGATATTTTTTTCCAAAAGGTTTGTGTTTTGTCACACCTCCACCAATTATTCCTTCTGCATCTCCAACAGATGTTTGAAGCTTTCGGGATTAGATGAACCCTCACTGATCTAATCGAGGAGGGCTCTTCTTAGGCTCTTGTAAGGAGAAGGCCTTAGCCTCTCTGCCCTGTTGTTGGCCCTCCAGAGGAACTGGTTGGGGCCACTGTGTGAGGCAGGATGCTGGAGTAGATGGACCCTCACTGGTCTGATCCAGCAGGGCTCTTCTTGTGTTCTTATGAGGGGAAGGCCTCAGCCTCTCTGCCCTGTTGTTGGCATTCCAAAACAACTGGTTGGCCTCTGTGTGAGACTGGTTTCTGGACTCGATGAACCCCGGTCTGATCCAGCAGGGCTCTTCTTAGGTTCTTATGAAGGGAAGACCTCGGTCTCTCTGCCCTGTTGTTGGCCCTCCAGAGGAACTGGTTGGGGCCACTGTGTGAGGCAGGATGCTGGATTAGATGGACCCTCACTGGTCTGATCCAGCAGTTCTCTTCTTAGGTTTTTATGAGGGGAAGGCCTCAGTCTCTCTGCCCTGTTGTTGGCCCGCCAGAGGAACTGGTTGGGGCCACTGTGTGAGGCAGGATGCTGGACTAGATGGACCCTCACTGGTCTGATCCAGCAGATCTCTTCTTAGGTTTTTATGAGGGGAAGGCCTCGGCCTCTCTGCCCTGTTGTTGGCCCGCCAGAGGAACTGGTTGGGGCCACGGTGTGAGGCAGGATGCTGGACTGGACCCTCACTGGTCTGATCCAGCAGGGCTCTTCTGATGTTCTTATGAGGGGAAGGCCTCAGCCTCCCTGCCCTGTTCTTGGCCCTCCAGAGGAACTGATTGGGGCCACGGTGTGAGGCAGGATGCTGGACTAGATCGACCCTCACTGGTCTGATCCAGTGGGGCTCTTCTTTTATTCTTATGAGGGGAAGGCCTGTATAAGAACATAAGAACATAAGAGACGCCAATGTTGGATCAGGCCAAAGGCCCATCCAGTCCAACACTCTGTGTCACACAGTGGCCAGAAATACCAGTGCCATCAGGAGGTCCAGCAGCCTCTCTGCCCTGTTGTTGGCCCTCCAGAGGAACTGCTTGGGGCCACGGTTTGAGACAGGATGCTGGACTAGATGGACCTTCACTGGTTTGATCTAGGAAGATTCTTTTTATGTTCTCTCTCTTTCTGGCTCAATGAGGCAGAATGGCCGTTTAGCCCCACAGGCTAACTTTGGGATAACGGGCTTAGCAAAACCTGATTCCGGTTCATTTTAAATGGCTGTGAGACCTGCGTGTTTCTGCTCTCAACCCTCCTGCTTGGCAGAGAACCCTGTGGGATTTGAAAGCTTGCCTCATTTTGAATCGAGGCTCTGTGTTTTTTCTCTCTCTGAGTCTCAAAGCAGTGTGAGGCGTTGTTTTGTGTTGTGGGAGGACCAAGGAGACCTGGGTTCAAGCTGTTGGTCTGCCCTTGGCCCAGTCACGCTCTCTCTTAGTCTACCCTACCTCGCAGGGTGGTTGTGAGGGGAGAATGGAAGATGCACTGTCTAGGTTCCCCGGCAAGGCGGGATATAAATTGAAAATAATAAATAAATAAATAGGTCTGCCTGTGGAGCTTCAGTGTTCAGAAATAAGGGCTTTTCTGCCACGTGGCTGCACGTGGCTGTCTCCTTGTCAAAAGCCTCCTGCTGCCTTAAATGTTTGAGGAGTGACTTAAAATTACTCCCCCCCCCCCAGAAGATGGGATGGGGGAGGAATGCAGATAGTAATAGGCTATATTCTGGCCTCAAAAACCGATATAGCCGCTGTAGTGGAATCCTTTTATTAGGACCAGCTGAAAGGAACAAAATATTGATCTGGTTTTCAGTTTACACAGAACTTTTTCCTTGGAGGTTTTCAAACAGAGGCTCAATGGCCATCTGACAGCGATAACTGATTCTGTGAACTTAGGCAGACCATGAGAGGGAGGGCAGGAAGGATTGCATCAGTGTGCTTAGTTCTTGTGGCCCTTTCTTACATGACCAGGGAAATGCCGATTGCCGCTTTGGGATCAGGAAGCCATTTTCCTCCACGTCATTTTGGCTGGAGATCTTGGAGATTTTTTGTCATCTTCTGGGCGTGGAACAGCGGTCACTGGGGGTGGTGGGGGAGAGGGATTTGTGAATTTGTGCAAGGAGTTGTGAATTTGTGCAAGGAGTTGGACTAGATGACCCTGGAGGTCCCTTCCAACTCTATATTCTATGAGTTTATTGGGGAGGGGGAGGGATTTGCTTGCCAGGGTATTTGCCTGCCGGAACATCAGTCTGAGACAGCCGCCACGGGCAGCCGGCTACTCTTGCTCACCCCATACAAACACACGCCTGATCTTCCACTCAGTGGTTTTCTCTGGTGCAAGGAGGAATGAGCAGGTTCTGGGTGCCTTAGGAGCAGGTGGAGCCACCTCAGCCTGAGTGAGACCATTTGTCCCTTTTAGCTCCGCAATATTTATCTACACAGACTGGCAGAAGCTCTCCGGCATGGTGCTGCGGGGGGGTGGTGGGAGCCTGCCCCTGGAGATCCTGATCTGGAGATGCCAGGGTTTGAACCAGGGACCTTCTGTTGGCAGAGCAAGTTCCCTGCCACTGAGCCACAGGCCCCTTCCCCTTAAACAAAGAAGACGTGCTTTCCTAATCAGGGGTCATTTCGTAGAAAAAGAGGGGCAGGAGCTCATTAGCATAATTCATTAGCATAACCTATTTGCATATGACACACCCCCTGACATCACCGGAAGTGTGTCAGAAGGCAACACCCACCGCTCAGGCTCCACTGCACTGTTTTGGATTGCTAGCTATGGGGGGGGGGTTAACGTGCAGATCTGTCCTCGCAGAGGAGGGAGAGCTTGTACCTGAATAGAACTTGGTCTTAAAGGTGCCACTGGACTGTTTTGGATGGGGGGGGGGGCTCTGCAACTTCTCTGGCTGCTTCTTGCTCTGACTGAGGGCTGCTGTGAGCAGGGGGCGGGGCTTGTTGCATGTGCCCGCCCCCTGGGCTCTTTACTGCCGGAGCTCCGCTCCTGTGCGCTCCTGCAGGAAATGACCCCTGTTCCTAACCATTGGCAGTGTGGTTGCTAGACCAGCAGCTCTCAGCCTTTTAGGTATGGTGACTCACGAGTCCAAATTTGTTTGTTCTGGTGACCCGTCCAGGGATGCCCCAAGGTTTTTTGGTGCCCTAGATGGACGATGACGCCCATCTAGTTCAGCATTCCATTTTCTGCAGTGGCCAGCCAGATGCTTTTGAGAAACCGAGGAACCATGGCCCAAAGGGCGCAGCTGACCCCACTGTGAACCCCAAGCAAGTGGCTTTCCGACATAGGCAAGCCTTTGCGTCCTTTGACCACCCTCTCCTTCCCCTTTACTCCTTCAGATCCCCCCTATGATCCTAAGAAACTCATTCTAGTAACCATCAGGACACATTTCACTTGACCCAAGGGTATGTGCAGTGAAGTGAAAAAATGTCAACTAACGTATGACTTGGAAGATGCTGTTTCCACGGTCAGATCCTGGTTCCCAAAATACAAAACAGAGCAGTGGAGAGGGTAGGAAGGTGGCCATCGTGGAGGGCTGGCCAGCAAGCCCCTTACAGAGGCTTCGCGACCCACTTTTGAGTCCTGACCAACAGTTTGGGAAACACAGTATGAGTCAATGGCACCATGCTTTGATGGGCACAGGTATAGACAGCTTTAACAGGGCATTAGGCAAATTTGTGGCAGAGAGGTCTCTCAGTGGCTACCAACCCTGGTGACTAAAGGGAACCTCCACATCCCAGTGCCAGGAGGCAACATCAGGGGAAGGCCTCGGCCTCTCTGCCCTGTTGTTGGCCCTCCAGAGGAACTGGTTGGAGCCACTGTGTGAGACAGGAGGCTGGACTAGACGGACCCTCACTGGTCTGATCCAGCAGGGCTCTTCTGATGTTCTTGTGAGGGGAAGGCCTCGGCCTCTCTGCCCTGTTGTTGGCCCTCCAGAGGAACTGGTTGGAGCCACTGTGTGAGACAGGAGGCTGGACTAGACGGACCCTCACTGGTCTGATCCAGCAGGGCTCTTCTGATGTTCTTGTGAGGGGAAGGCCTCGGCCTCTCTGCCCTGTTGTTGGCCCTCCAGAGGAACTGGTTGGAGCCACTGTGTGAGACAGGAGGCTGGACTAGACGGACCCTCACTGGTCTGATCCAGCAGGGCTCTTCTGATGTTCTTGTGAGGGGAAGGCCTCGGCCTCTCTGCCCTGTTGTTGGCCCTCCAGAGGAACTGGTTGGAGCCACTGTGTGAGACAGGAGGCTGGACTAGACGGACCCTCACTGGTCTGATCCAGCAGGGCTCTTCTGATGTTCTTGTGAGGGGAAGGCCTCGGCCTCTCTGCCCTGTTGTTGGCCCTCCAGAGGAACTGGTTGGAGCCACTGTGTGAGACAGGAGGCTGGACTAGACGGACCCTCACTGGTCTGATCCAGCAGGGCTCTTCTGATGTTCTTGTGAGGGGAAGGCCTCGGCCTCTCTGCCCTGTTGTTGGCCCTCCGGAGGAACTGGCTGAGGCCACTGTGTGAGACAGGATGCTGGACTAAAGGTTTGATCCAGCAGGGCTCTTCTGATGCTTCTTTCCCCCCGTCACAGCAAGGAAGCAGCTGGAAGGAATGGAGAAGGGAAAGGAATCCAGGTTGGGGAGCTGGCTTGGGCACCTGTCTAGCTCGGCATTTCCATTTCTTACAGAGGCTGACCAGATGTTTTTGGGAACCCAGCAGTCCTTGCACAAAAAGGGTGCAGCTGCCCCCACTATGAACCCCAAGCAAGTGATAGTCCGACATAGAAAGCCTTTGCCTATAGAGGTTTGACCACCCTCTCCTTCTCCATCACTCCCTCTAATCCCCTCTAAGATGCTAAGAAACTCACTGCAGTAACCATCAGAGCATGTTGCACTAGATTAACGTATATGTGCAGTGGAGGGAAAAAATACCAGCTAAAGTATGGCATGGGAGATACCGTTTCCAGGGTCAGATCTTGGTTTTTGAGGTACAAAAGGGAGCAGTGGGAAGGGCAGGGGCGCCCGTTAGGCCCCCGACCCATTTTCAGAGGTTTTGGGGTCCTGACCCAGAAGTTGGGACACGCAGTGCTAGGCAACGGCACCGTGCTTCCTTTCTCCCCGTCAGACGATGGAAGGAGCTGGCCTCTGCCCAGAACGGGGAAGGGAAAGAAATCCAGGCCGGGGAGCTGACTGGGATGGGAAGACAGAGGCTGCAGTTAACGCTCTGATGCGCGTTCTCCCTTTCTCTCCCGGCAGTGCTTCATGAACGCCGTGCTCCAGTGCCTGAGCAGCACCAAGCCCCTGCGGGATTACTGTCTGCGTCGGGAATTCCGGCAGGAGCAGCCCGGCGCCCTGCGGTCCCAGCAGGAGCTGACCGAAGGTAAAGGAGGCAGCTTCCGAGCGAGAGACACGAGCGCTTTCTAGCAGGTGTCACGGCGGGTTATGTAACGAGATCGCCGCCTGATCTCACTCCAGCCAATGGGATTCCGGCAGAGAGTCGGGGATCTAAATCCATCTCCGAAGGACCTTAATTGGCAGTCCCTCGATGGCTGGTGTTATATAAGTGCCTGGCCTCAAGAGGCCCCGGTTCCACCTCCGTCTTGTCCCTCGCTCCCCTGTGGAGCTTTTCAGAGGCTGCGCTCTCCTGCCATTGGTTTGCACGTGTGCGGTAAAGAGGCTGGGCTGGCAGCAGTTTTCTGTGGGGGCGGAGCATTGGAGGAGGAGGAGATTGGATTTGTACCCCGCCCTTCACTACCCGAAGGAGTCTCAGAGCGCCTTACAATCTCCTTCCCCTCCCCCTCCCCACAACAGACACCCTGGGAGGTAGGTTGGGCTGAGAGAGCTCTTTCGAGAGCTGCCCTTGAGAGAACAGCTCTGAGAGAACTTGTGACTGACCCAAGGTCACACCAGCAGCTGCAAGTGGAGGAGTGGGGAATCAAACCTTGTTCTCCCAGATTAGAGTCTGTGCTTTTAACCACTACATCAAACTGGCCCATGCAGGACATCATCGATGTACAGTTCTGATGTTGTATTGATATTGTTTAACTGTAGCCTTTTTGTAGCCCTTCTGGATGCTCAGAGGGCTCTGTGTGCACCATTGTACTACTTACAACAACCCTGTAAGAAGGTTATTATTGTACTCCTTACAACAACATTATTGTATTCCTTACAACAACCCTGTAAGATGGCCAGGGTCATTACCTTTGTTTTGCTGGCCCTGAGAGCGCAGTGACTTGCCTGAGGCTATCAAGCGGTTTGTGGCAGAGCCGAAATTAAAACTCAGGGTTTTCCGATTCTGCCTCCTTGCCACTACACTACAACAGTGTTCTTTTGCCAGGTGTCCACGTGCCTCTCAACCATCCTTTATACCCACTGGCCAGGTCACGGGAGGAAGGGTTCTCACTTGCAGAGCAAGTGGATAGACTACAGCGTGCACATTTTCTCTTGTATCTCTGCAAAGAAAAAGGCCAGGTGGGTGCCTTTCTCCGTTGGGGAGTTAGAAATTCAGGGGCCAGTCTCTAGGGCTGAATGGAGCCTCATTTGGGAAGCTCTCCTTGGCCTGCAGGGGGGTGGAGGACCAGGGATGATCCGTTGTTCATTTGTCGTCCCTGTGTAATTGTTTCCTAAGACCTTTAACCGAAAATGTTGCTAGGTATTTTATTAGTCTTCCATGCCTCCACAGCTGCTATTCTAGTGTACTTCTATTTCCACACCCTCCCCCCCTAATTATTCTAGAACACACTTTTCCCCAGTCCTCTAATCTGAGGATCCCTTGCTTTCTACACCCAGTTTGGTGTAGTGGTTAAGAGCAGCAGACTCTAATCTGGAGAACCGGGTTTGATTTCCCCACTCGTCCACCACATGAAGCCAGCTGGGTGACCTTGGGCCAGTCACAGTTCTGTCAGAACTCTCTTAGACTCACCAATCTCACAGGGTGTCTGTTGTGGGGAGAGAGAGGAAGGGACGGCAATTGTAAGCTGCTTTGAGACTCCTTAAGGTAGAGAAAAGCGGGATATAAAAACCAGCTCTTCTTTCTCTGCCAATCCACAGATCCTTTGCTTTCTCTACCAATACTTCCTTACGCCTTCCTACCTGTCCCGCCCTTCTCTGGGACCGTCCAATGGCAGCTAGGGACCGTGGTGCCTCCCAGTGACATGAGGGCGCCTCAGCCAATCGCTGCCAGCGGGTTCACCTTAAGGGAAAAAATCCTTAACACACAGCAGTCATATTTGTACGGTCTTCCAGCACAGCTACAGTGGAAAAGGATCCTTGGGTGGATTACGTCCTCCGCAATTACTGCTGTTGCCGCTTCCCGTGAATCTAAATTACTTTTCCTGTGATGCTCTTTCCTGCCTCTTAGTTCACTGCAGCAGCAGAGAGCCAGTTTGGTGTAGTGGTTAAGTGTGCGGACGCTAATCTTGGAGAATCTGGCTTGATTCCCCAGTCTTCCACATGCAGTTGCTGGATGACCTTGGGCAAGGCATAGCTCTGACAGAGCAGTTTCTGTCAGAGCTCTCTCAGCCCCACCCACCTCACAGGGTGTCTGTTGCAGGGAGGGGAAGGGAAAGGAGTTTGTAAGCCGCTCTGAGACTCCGAGTGAGGGGCAGAGTATAAATCTAATCTCTTCTTCTACTCTCCTTGGCTAGACAGCAGGCCTTGGAGCTGGGTTCACCTCTGCCACAGACTTGCGTGTATGGCCTTTCCCAAGTCACTTATCCTCCCAACCTTGGTTCCTCTTTTTTTTTAACAAAGTGGGAATGGTGGACAACCAGACTCATTACACTAAGAACAAAGGCCTGTGAATGAAGTGTTTTTGCAGGTTTAAATATTGGTAGAAATGAGACGGAAAAGAGAAGACTAACCAGTGGGTATTCTTGTTCCTTGGTGGCTCCCCCAGCTTTTGCAGATGTCATCGCTGCCTTGTGGCACCCTGATTCCACGGAGGCCACCAACCCCGGCCGCTTCAAAGCCGTCTTTCAGAAATACGTGCCATCCTTCACGGGATACAGGTGAGGGAAGCCGTCTTTCTAGCCCTCTTCCTTCCTCCACCAGCCGTGGGGCTGCCTCATTCACGTCAAGAAGCTCCAGGATCAAATTAAGTTTTTGCTTCAAAAAAAAAAAAAAAAGGTTAAAGGCCAGGATCAAAATAAGAACTGACAATCCACTGTCAAGGGCACCGCCTGGCTCATTTGAATTTCCTCTAGCTGAAATGTCAATTTGGGCGTCAGCTCTTAAACGCAGTGAGCCCAGGATGGGGGGTGGTGGTGTTTGCCTGTCTGAGAATCTTGGAACAGAGGTGAGACAAAGATCGGTCAGTTTTCATCCCATTTTTCAGCCAAAAATTGACAGTCGAAGCAGCTCCGGGGGGGGGGGAGTTTCTCAGCTGGTGGCTTCTTGCCCTCCCTTCAGTGGGTTCGTCTAGGGTCATGGGAAGCTCCAGGTTGGATTGAGACACGACAGAGGGGTGTCTGGGTGCTTCCCCCCTCCCCCTTTAGAAAGATTAACCAGGGGGCCAGTCAGCCAGAGCTGCACCCGGGTATGATGGAGGAGGGCCCTTTCTGTCCAAGGTGCATTGTGGGAGATTCCTGGCTTGGCTACGGGTCCATGTTGTGCCAGTGATGGAAAAGGGCCTGGCTCCTTTGTGTCCTTCCTCTCAATTGATCTATCAAGGTGCATTGTGGGAAATCCCCGGCTTGGCTACGGGTCCACATTGTGCAAATCTCTCTCTCTTTTTTTAAAGAAAATTTGTACACCACCTTGAGCTACGTAAACTTTATCAGTGTGCAAATGCAATAAAGAAGGCCAACGCTATGCTGGGGATTATTAGGAAGGGGACTGAAAACAAATCATCCAGAATCATCATGCCCCTGTATAAATCTATGGGGCGGCCCCATTTGGAATCCTTTGTGCAGTTCTGGTCACTGCACCTCATAGTATAACACTGGAAAAGGTGCAGAAAAGGGCAACTAAAATGATTTAGGGGATGGATCACCTCCCCCATGAAGAATGGTTAAAGAGGTTAGGGCTCTTGGAGAAACGATGCTCGAGGGGTGTCGTGATAGAGGTTTACAGAATTATGCATGGGATAGAGAAGGTAGAGAAAGAAGCACTTTTCTCCCTTTCTCACAATGCAAGTACTCGTGGGCACCCCATGAAATCAATGAGCAGTAGGCTTAGGACAGATCAAAGGAAGCCCTTCTTCACCCAAAGAGTAATTAACAGATGGAATTCACTACCGCAAGACATGGTGGTAGCTACAAGCACAGACAGCTTCAAGAGGGATTGGATAAACATCTGGAGCAGAGGTCCATGAGTGGCTATCAGCCACAAGGTATAGAGGGAACATTGTCTGATACTCTAGAGGTATTCTTGGTGGTTGGGAGTTAACAGTGGGAGGACTTCTGGAGTTCTGGCCCTGCTGGTGGACCTCCTGATTGCATCTGGGTTTTGGCCACTGTGTGTCCCAGAGTGTTGGACTGGATGGGCCATTGGCCTGATCCAACATGGCTTCTCTTATGTTCTTCTATGGAGCAGAAGTCCATCAGTGGCTATTAGCTGCAGGGTACAGATGGAACACTCTGTCTGGGGCAACAGTGGGAGGGCTTCTGGTGTCTTGGCCCCGCTGGTGGACCTCCTGATGGCACCTGGGTTTTGGCCACTGGCCTGATAGAGTGTTGGACGAAATGGGCCACTGACCTGATCCAACAATTATGGAGCAGAGGTCCATCAGTGCCTATTAGCCACAAGGTATAGATAGGGACTCTGGGGCAAGTGATGCTCTGTCTTCTTGGTGCTTGGGGGGGTCAACAGTGGGATGGCTTCTAATGTTCTGGCCCCACTGGTGGACCTCCTGATGGCACTGGTATTTCTGGCCACTGTGTGATACAGAGTGTTGGACTGGATGGGCCTTTGGCCTGATCCAACATTGGCATCTCTTATGTTCTTATGTTCTTAACATGGACTCTCTTACATTCTTATGAACCCCGTGCACAGTTCTCACACTTGGCGAAACTGGGAGAGCTGCAGAATTAGCTGCGGGCAGCAGGACTGAGCTTATGTTTCTGTGTTTTTACTCAAGGGGTAGCAGAACACCTAGGTCTGAGTCCAGTAGAGTCTTAGAGACCTCTCCCAAAATACTAGCACTCAGGGGCACCCACTGAAGCAGTAGATTCAGGACGGACAAAAAGAAATACTTCTTTACCCGGTGAGTGATTAAAATGTGGAATTGGCTGCTAGAGAATGTAGCAGATGGCCACAGGCACAGGCAGCTTTAAAAGGAGATTAGATAGATTGATGGAGGACAGGTCCATCAATGACTACTAGGCATCGTGACTAGAGCGAACGTCCACCTTCAAAGGCAGTCAGCCTCTGAATCCCAATGCCAGGAGGCAGCATCAGGGGAAGCATCAGACTGCAATAAAAAACGCCAACGCTATGCTGGGGATTATTAGGAAAGGCATAGAAAACAAATCTGCCAGTATCATCATGCCCCTGTATAAATCGATGGTGTGGCCTCATTTGGAGTACTGTGTACAGTTCTGATCACCGTACCTCAAAAAGGATATTATAGTGTTGGAAAAAGTGCAGAAAAGGGCAACTAGAATGATAAAAGGGTTGGAACACTTTCCCTATGAAGAAAGGTTAAAGCCCTTGGGGCTCTTTAGCTTTGGAGAAACGATGGCTGAGGGGTGACATGATCGAGGTTTATAAGATTAGGCATGGGATAGAGCAGGTAGAGAAAGAGGTACTTTTCTCCCTTTCTCACAATACAATACCTCGTGGGCACTCCATGAAATTGCTGAGCGGTCGGGTTAGAACGGATAAAAGTAAGTACTTCTTCACCCAAAGAGTGATTAACACCTGGAATTCACTGCCACAGGAGGTGGTGGCGGCTACAAGCATGGACAGCTTCAAGTGGGAATTAGATAAACATATGGAGCAGAGGTCCATCGGCTATTAGCCACAAGGTATAGACAGGAACTCTGGGGCATGTGATGCTCTGTATTCTTGGTGCTTTGGGGGGCAACAGTGGGAGGGCTTCTAATGTCCTGGCCCCACTGGTGGACCTCCTGATGGCATCTGGTATTTTTGGCCACTGTGCAACAGAGTGTTGGACTAGATGGGCCATTGGCCTGATCCAACATTGGCTTCTCTTATGTTCTTATGAAGGCTTCGGCCTCTGTGCCCTGTTGTTGGCCCTCCAGAGTTACCGGTTGGCCACCGGATGCTAGGCAAGTTGGACCATTGGTCTGATCCAGCAAGGCTCTTCTTATGTTCACTGGTTGTGGAGGTACTACTGGACTCGAAACTCTCCGTCTCCGTGTTTTTGTTTGTCTTCAGGAGAAACAGTGACACTGTCTTTAGATTTCTCTCTCCCTGACTGCAGAGGCTGGCAGGGGGAAGGAGGAGGGCTGGATTCTGCAGATCTCTTCCACCATCAACGGCGCCTTCTCTTGACCACAGGCTTTTTGTGGCAGGGGAAAGCGCCTTGGGCTGGGGAGAGGCACTGGCAGGGGAACAGATCTGGTGGATCCAGCTCGGAATCTGCTAGGGGCTTTGCACCGATGGAAACTCCCAGATCCCTTTACTTAGAAGGAGTAGATCTTGACTGGTACGTGTTGCCCATCGCCTTTTAAGAAATGCATTTCCCTCCCCTTCTCCAGCCAGCAAGACGCTCAGGAGTTTTTGAAATTCTTCATGGACCGGTTGCACGTGGAGATCAACAGGAAGGGACGCAAAACTCCCAGCATCCTCTCCGACACCAAGCGGACCTCGGTGCTGGAGGATGCCGACACCTTGAGGTGAGCAGGGCCCGTCTGGGTGCCTCCCCGTGTGCTGAAGATCAGGGAAATCGAGTATCCAAAGAGCTGTTTTCATAATGGAATTTACAGGAACTCAGCATCGGTCAGTGTTGTTATTCCCATTCTACAGATCAGTGCTGGAAGCAATGAGTCATTGGTTTGGACAGGCCATGGCTCAGGAGCCTTTGCTTGGGATGCGGAAGGTCCCAGGTTCAATCCCCGGCATCTCCAGGTAAAAAGACCAGGCAGTAGATGATGTGAAAGACCTCAGCTTGAGACTTTAGAGAGCCGCTGCCTGTCTGAGTAGGCGCTGTGTCTCAGTGGAAGTGCCTTTGCTTGGCAAGCAGGAGGTCCCAGGTTCAATCCCTGGCATCTCTGGTGAAAAGGACCAGGTGATAAGTGATGTGAAAGACCCCTGGAGGACAGCTGCCGGTCTGAGTAGACAATACTGACCTTGACGGACCGATGTTCTGATTCAGTATAATTAAACAAACAGGAATGAGGCTGAATCACAGGCAGAAAACAAAAATAACTCCCCAGAGACAAGTATTCAATAATAATTAGTGCACAAAACTACAGTCTAATTGAAATAAAGGACCATAACAACCACGTGTAAATAAACAGAAAATTACTAAATATACTAAATTGTTAACAATAATTCCACAAGAGAATACAAGTATATTTAACGTAATATGAAGTGCAAACTCAATAGAGTTCAAAGCCGATGTAGCGTTTGCAAATGACCATATGTTTAAAGGAGGCTCGATGAATGTAACAAAAGAGCCACCTCAGTCCGTAATGCCCTTCTCTAAATTGTTAGAAGCAGAGGTCATTTCGGGGGGGATCATGGGGGATCGCAGTTCCCCCGGGTGAGGTACGGGGGGCGGGGCAC